GGTCTGGAAATCTGTATTTGCACTTCCAGCTCTGTCTAGTGGCTGCCCACATCCGCAAAAATGAGGACAGGGAGAGCGGCGGTGATCACCTGCATCTGTTGGGAGTACTGACCACACGGGATGTGTCCACCTGGGAACTGCAAGGAGTAACCACACCTCTGTGTGTATTGGGGGGCATCACTGCCTGTCCAGGGCTGTAGGTGATAGAGGTAGCAGCTAACGGGTCACCAGAGAGGCTGCAGGACCATGCTGAGCCCGGACCCCACTTCCCCATGCCCTGTGTGCCTGGTCCAGACCGACCCAGCTGCTGCTGGTCCTCCCAGCGCGTGGTGCACCAGGGGAGCGCGGGGTCTGCGCCATCCTCCCCAACCCCTGGGGAAGGGAGCCCTCTGTCACGAGGAGCAACAGTCAACAGGTCTGCGCCTGTTGGGCACCGGGGAATTGTGATTTAATGAGCAGATGGGAGATCTCCACTCCCTGGGAGAGGAGTGCAGCCATCGGTCGGACGACAAGCAGGACTGGAGAACAAGGCAACAGCAAATACCACCGTATTTTGCTGGTTTTGACTGCAGGGCTACAGGTGCTGAAAAAGTTGTCCTGCTCCGTGATCACCATCAAGCAGAGGAGACCTACCTGGATGCCCTGAATGTCACCGGAGCCACTCCTAGGGTTAGTGAGAGCAGAAGGTGGACAGGATTAGTGCTTTGTGAGTACAGAGCCATAGGGAGGTGCCCGGGACCTCCTGCCAGCTGCAAAAGGGGCTGGCTCCCACTTTCAGCTGGATAACCAGGGTGTTTTACGCCATTAAACCATCTTGCAGCATATCTGTATCATCCCTCTTCAAGCAACAGAGCATCGTCAGAATTCCCAAGAGCCACCACAAGGCTCCTGCTGCATCTTGCAAGGAAGGAAGCAGTCATTTGAGGTCCATTTTGAGGGGAGGAATAGCACTTAGTCATCTGGATCCTTTCGAATGCTGTGAGGCCACATGAGAATTACAGTCACCCCAAGGCCTTATTTCTTCATATAAATATTTGAGATATACATATTCTCTCTGAATTTCTTTTCATGTTTAGTAGGGAATGTCATGTGTGTGTAGTCAGCTCCCTTGCTCCCAGTTATTGCTTAAGGATACATAAATATGAAAATGTGGGCAAATATTTACAGACAATAAATGCTAGGGGTTTCTAATTAACCAGTGTTTCATATGGTTACATGACAAAATACAACATTTTAGCAGTAACTAAACCCAGGAATATTAAAACTCGTCTCCCTTACTCTTTTCACACCTAGCAACTTCTTTTGGGGCCAATTAAAAAGTGGCAAACCCAGAAAAGGGAGAACGGAGAACTTTTTTTTTCCCACAGCATATAACAAAACCTTGTTTTTTACTGCCACAATGAACCATGGATGCCAAAAATGCAGCGACGTTAACAGGGCATGGGTATATCTACAGACAGTAAGAATGGCCAGAGCTGTAACGGTTACAAATGACATGAATTTTGGAAGAGAGCAGACCTCCAGCTGCAATTGCAAACCAATCTTTATTAGGGATTAGGAAAAGAGCAACTGTGACAGCCAGGTTATCTGCTTACAAGGGAGCTGCACGTACTTTCCACCTTCCACCCAGCACTGGAGAGACCGGCTGCAATAACTGGACATCGGAGCTGATGCAGCTTTTTTTTTTATTTCTTCAATTTTTGTGAGCTAATCCCAGCTCGGCTGCTCACATGAGTAATACTCACCCGTGTGTGCAGTGCCTGAGTGTATGAGCCTTACTTAAAAACAGAAAAAAAACCAACCCTCCTTTTCTTCCTAAACAAGGCATGGTAAGAATAAACAGCATACCGTAGCGCCGGAGCACACTGCCCAAGAAATATAGCTGGGGACAAGATTCAAAAGAAAAGTATGTGAGAGGCCTAAAAGCCTCTGTCATTAAAAAAAAAAAAAAAAAAAAAAAAAATCGAATAGGTCTCTGAGCAAATGCAAAGGCCAACAGGCAAATAAGATAAACACTGCTGCAGAGATCTACGTGCAGTTCTCTGCAAAGCGCCAAAGCCATTCCTTATTGCACAATCAATACAAAAGAGATTGCAACTCAGAAAAAAGAAACAGACACACCCTCCCCCCGTTCCTAAAGAAACAAAGGAGCTACCCAACTTAACACACAGATTCTCCTTTATTTTGTTCTAAAACACTAGAACTACAAGGCAATGACTTAAATAAAGGAAAAAACAATCAGAATCAACGTAAGAAATATTGACACTTATCAAAAATGCAGCAGACAACAGCTCCTTCCAACAAACTTCTAAATAATTTACACCCGATATGAAGAAGCCAATCTTAGGAATGTGCTGTGCCAAAACAGTCGAGGGAACCGTTTCTCCTATGACCTGGGCAAAAAACCCAACCCCAAAATAGAGGCACCGGCAAAAAAGCGTTGCATTTCAAATCCAATGGCAGCAAAAGGCATCATTTAGAACCAGAAAGTGCCTGGAGGAGGGCAGCTGGGAGCCTGTGCGTGGGCACCGACCGTTTGCAGACCACCCATCCCCACTGCCCCGGCCCAGGGGTGCCCCTCGCCCCCGGGAGAGGGCGCTTGCCAGGAACGTGCTCCAGCCCTTGGTACCAGCAGCGCCTGTTGCACCAGGTCTTAAAGATAAAAAGAAATTTAATAGAGAGATAGAGAAACGTTAGGAAAAGCTAAATGAAAAGTACACAGGGACGCGGGTCAGAGGTGACCCCCACCACCACCAGCATAAGATAGAATCAACACAGGGGTTTTTAAGAGCCCCTTTAGTTGCCTTCTGGCTTTCCCAGCCACAGGCATGCTCGGGGCGGCACAGCCAAGCCTTGTCCCACAACTACGAAGGCCAAACCGATTTCTTTTTTCTTCCTTTTGCAGCAAAAGCTGAGACCCCTTTCCAGCGTCTCTCTCCGAGCCTCGCGTTCAAAGCATCAAACGCCTGCAAAGCCATTCTAAAAAAAGCTGCGCAAAACAAACCGGAGGGGAGGTAAGCGTGACCCTCGCCAGGGGGAGAGGGCGCTGTGCATCTGCACCCCCTATAGCCCACGCGTGCATGGCCCCTATAGCCTGCACTGTGCGTGCCCCGCTCCTGCAACCTGCGCACCCCCTGCAGCC